ATAGTAGAGTCCAAGGAAGCTAATCAATTCTGTTAGTCTAATAATTCATCTCTATGATGTATTTGAAGAGCACGGTAATAGCAGACATATTTAGCTGGAATGAGTTCTATAGTGTTATCAGTTGCACTCTGTCTGATTTTCTGCTTGAAGGTAATAGAGGTTAATGCAGTAATGTTAAAGTTCTAGCCTATTTGGTCAGAGGTTGTAAAGAAGCTCACGTAACTGACATTAGGCTATTTATCTAATTACGTTCATGTCAGTGCCCTACCTGCACACATTTATTAGTGCAACAGGAGAATAAGCACATTAATAGAAAATAAAGTTACCCTGACCTATAAAAAAAACCCATATGTTTTCTTATGACTGATCAGTCTATTTTTTTCTGATGTAAAGCCATTTATTAAAGTATGCAGTGAAGAACATTGATTATTTGCAAGACATAATTGTAGGAAATTCTTACTAGCTCATTAGATACTATATTGTCAATATGTTATTTGCAAGAGCTTCAGTTTTATTTGGAGGGATATATCTGTTGGTGACATTGAGCTAACAAGGTGAATCACCTAATTTTGCTGTACAAAATTACTGAAATATACCAAATGTATCATCTTTCTATGCTTCCATACATGCATAATATGTGTTATGGCATAGGTTGATGGTAAGGAGGTATTGTTTTACACTTAAACATGTATTGTTCCTTTATCCTCTACAAGAATTTAGTAACCCTGGTTTCTGGCTTTTGGTCAGAGCTAGCTAGTTTATATTTTGTATTCGTCTACCATTGAATGATTGATTTCTAATTGTTTGGCGATCTTTTTAAATTCTTCGCCAGATAAAGGCATTCACAACCTTCTTTTGAGTGCCTTAGAGAACAGTAATGATATTGGCATAATGACATCACACAGATCGATAACAAAGAAAACACCAAAGCCTGCTGTAGATATCTGAGGTTTATAAAAGGCAGGTTACACCTGCATACTACCTAATGGGGTTGTAATTATCACCACCTAATATGAAACACTGAATTCTAATTTGATAGAATGGTAAATGACACTATAATGTCCAGAAAGAGCCTAGTGCATTTAAGCATTATGTTTACAGTTTGCCCTTCTAAATTCAACCAAGTGATACCCAATCAAAGTGCCTAGTGTAAAAGCGGTTAGTGACCGATGTAGTTTTATTTCTGCTATTCAGCAGCAGACCAGAGATGTCTTTGTATTTTTTCTTTTGCTTCCATAAAGTAGTGTAGACTGCTCATTAAATATTCAAGAAGCCAAATGACCATCTCTGCTGAAATCTATGCATCTCAATATCTTGTACTCAAGATAAGAACATGCTTTTGTCACAATTCACCTCTTAATCTGTGAAATAGAATCTTGTAAGTGGCAAATGACCAGTCTGTTGAGAGACAATTCCCAAGTGAAAAATACACATTGTTTGTTCTTTAATTAACAGCCTTTTCACGCAGATAGCACATTAATGCCACCAGCTAGGATGCCCCAGCTTATCCTATAAATATAGCTGGCTTTCCCTAACAAGTCATAAATGTTCGATTTGAACAGTAAATGATTGCTGTTCTTCAGTACTTTGTCCCTCATGAAGAGAGAAATAAATTCAAAAACCGAAATGAGGTCTCATGAGGATAAAAAGGCTAGTGTTAATAATTATCAGGGAGAGTGAAGTAGAGCCAAATTAGACATAATAGAGCACAGAGTGACTGGCAAAGTCAACTCTCATTATTAAAAAACTCATTAGGAAATGAAGAAGTGGAAATCCCACTGGGCTGTACTTCTCTGTTGCCTTATAAGAGATTATTTTTCAGAATTCTTTCAAATGGGTATTTTATTACCTTCCTATTTATACTAGGTTATTCTACAGATGTTAAAAATTGTAGAACTGACAAATGAATATTATTCAGTTATAATGTCATAGTTTAAGCTTGGACATGAGAAGCTATTTTCATGTACCTCATCCTTGATCCCAGTTACTTTATGCTCAAGTAACTGACAGAATATTTTTTTATTTAATGTGTGTCATTCCTATGAGAACTCACATGAGTGATATATTCTCAAGGGCATATTCTGTTCCTTAATATTTTTCCCTGGAGTAATTTTACTTCTACTTTGGTCTTTGGACCACTTCATCACATTGAGGAGAATTTATCAAAACTGCAGCAGACAGTATCTGGAGCAGTTGCCTATGGCAACCTATCAGCTTCTATCTTCAGCTTGCTCAGTTAAGCTTTGAAAATTAAAGCTAGAAGCTGAATGGTTGACATGCACAGCTGTTCCAGACTTGTTCTGCTACAGTTTTGATAAATTCTCCTCATTGTTTTTGCTATAGCTTTTAGTAATAACAAACTTTATAGTCCTCTTATCAGACAGCCAACAAGCATACCATATCGCTTTCAGTTTTGTTTTTTTTGTTATACAGGAATAAAAGCAATTATTCTGTCTTGGTTATAATGGAGACAAGAGGTTATAAAAACAAGCATTCCTGCAGAAATAATTGATAATAACTTTGTAATAGGCATTACAGTGGAAGTCCATGTAAATAGAAAACAAAATACATTTAGTCCAGTTATGTATTCATTACAAATTAATGACATTATTTAAATAAGGCTAAAAAAAACCTTTCCCTCTATTATGTTTCCATAATTACCTGAACACCAGAAATCAGGTGAGATTGTGCTATCATCCTAATAAGGTTCAAGCACTGTTGGCTGGAAGCAGAGGTGTTTAACCATGCTATTTAGATGGTAAGAGAACGGGAAAGATCTCATTAGTGGGGTGATCCACATTCATTGCTTAGAGAGCAGACTTCAGTTGAGAAGGTGACAGACAAACTGTAGAGCTGAATTTCTGAATTGTACTTTTGGGCTGTATAGTGTGACAGGTGTGTATGAAGCAGTTATACACAAATACAGTAATTTAGTTGTTTATTTAGCTACAGTTTCACCTGCTTGTTTAGTAGCTGCAATATCAAAGATTTGTATTGTTGAATGATAAACTGCCATCATCTCCCATTATGAAAAGATAAATGATAAGACTTTAGACAGTACACATGACAACAGCTGATGAATTTGGGCACCAGCAATATTTTACATATGTTGTGGCTGCCCTCTCCTATATTATTGGTTATGTTAGAGCTGTGTCATGCTTTACAACGGATAATTTTAAACCTACAATCATACAAGTGCAGTTGTGGGTTCTTCTGTCAGATTAAAGGAAATTAATTTCCTTTCATTGATCTGTTCACTGCTAAACACTTCCAGTTTCATCCTCACTGTCCTGGTGGGTAAGCAGTAGAAAGGGGAATCCATTTATTTCATCCGCATTGTGTAAAGGTGGCATCAGTGTGTTGGACAACTGCTGTCTTAAAGGATAAGTTCATCTTTTGCAAAAATTAAAGAAATGCATAATTAATAATATATTTTAAAAAATGCATTTTCTGTAATATTTGCATTCAAGCCTGGAAAGCATTGCAGTTGTGATCACTCGATCACAGCTGCAGAGCTCATGATTCTGCGCATTCTCTCCCAGACAGAGCTCGCATGGAGGTATGGAGTTTCTGTTGGGAGAGATGGGGGGAAGGACGACTGGACTTCAAACGGCATTAAATCACCTCATACGGCGTCCAGCCGTCCTCCCTCTAGGTAGATGTAGGAATGCGGGCAGCTCTACCTAGAGCGAGGATGGCTAGACGCTGTATGAGGTGATTTAATGCAGTATGAAGTCCAGCTGTCCTTCCCCCCCATCTCTCCCAACTGAAACTCTGTACCTCAGTATGAGCTCTGACTGGGAGAGAATGTGCAGAAGCCTGAGCTTTGCAGCTGTGATCGAGTGAACACAATGTAATGCTTTCCAGGATTGAATGCAAATATTAAAGAAATGCATATTTTTTTATAATTAATCATGTATTTCTTTAATTTTTGCAAAAGGTGAATTTATCCTTTAACAAAGAGTACTGATCACCACTCATGGGTAATGATAGGGGTACTATGAATGGGGAATAGGATTTAGGGGTGGTGAAGAAGACTCGATCACCTAAAATGTGATTCTCTGAGTACTGAAATATCATCTTCCCTGTCAGCGTCATAAGTAGGAAAACATTTTACATTTGATTTTCAAACCCTGCTATGATGAAAAGTAGCAGTGACTGCAAAATAACACTGCTTCTGAGCTCACCAACACCAACCACTGTTCAGTAGAAAATCCAAATGGCCAACATTAGTAAATTTGTGTCTACATATTACAGCAGTATGAGAAATCTGGGCTTCTGTTGCTTAACTCTAACAGCATTCTGTTCTTCTTCCAAAGCTTTGTTATGCAATGGCAAATTTCACAAACATGTTCAAGAATGTTTCGTGCCACTAGTGATTCGCTATATTGATCTCATGGAGTCTTCAATTGCGCAGTCCATTCACAAAGGGTTTGAGCAAGAAACATGGCAGCCCGTGAAGTAAGTTATATGATTCTGTATGTAATTGAATGATGTTTACAACCTTCCTGTAGAATGTAAAGGTAATTACATAGACACACAGAGTATATTACACATACATATACAAAGTCATCTATGTAATATATATACACAGATACACACACACAGTATATATTAAATATTCTTTGATTTCTCTGTGGGCATCTTTCATTTAGGCCTCCACTCTCAGCAGGCTGCTAAATCAGCTTAAGCTCTGCTCCACCCAAATGTATTTTTGTTTTGGATGGATTGGGGAAGGGATACAATATCTGCATTTGCATACAGTGTCATGTTTGCTGAGACTTTTCTTCCTTCTTTCCCCAATGATACCATTACTGTGAACATAAGGAGCGGAAATCTCCCCAGTAAGGATACAGTAAAATATGATAGAAATTCTAACATTTTCCATCTTTCCTTACCACAGTGTGTTTTTATTGCCGTATGTGTCATTATTAGAGATGTGCTCCCCTTAACACCTGTCACTGAGACTGTGAGGGGTAATCTCCCCAATGGGTATATAGAAGCAAATAAACCGTGACAGGGGTCCTAATCTATCTACAATTTGTTTAAAACTGGAAAGGTTGTTTTAGCTGAAGTTGCCATTTATTTTATATAAAAAAAGTTTTAGGTTTTTTTTTTTTGAGGTGTAAAGTTTAAAATATATTTGATCTGTTTAGATCTGACAAACATGCTTCAAGTGGAAGCTTTTGTTAGCTACCAGATTTTTATTTTTGTATTCCTGGATTTTTTTTACAGAAGCATCACCAACAGTCTTCCTAGTGTACCTCTCCCAAAAGTTCCAAGCTTGACTCTTAACCTTCCGCAGATACCTAGTTTTACACCACCATCCTGGATGACTTCTTTATATGAATCCACGTGTGTACAAATGAGTGTTCTTCTAGTGCATGGTTATTCTGCATGTCTTGACTTGTGATGGTTATTGTGAGTGAAGTGGTGATTTTTGCATGCTTGTATTATTGTACCACTAGTTTGGTGCTGTGTTCTGCAGAGCTTGGGTCTAAGTCATACTTTTGTTTAGCAAAACGCCAATTTAGTGACTATCAAATTTTTGGCCGGCCAGACTGTGGTCAGTAGGAGCAAAAAATTGCCACAGCATCAGAGGTCAGTGGGAGTAAAAAAACTGTCCAGAAGTTGGTGGTCATCAGAAGTAAAATATGCACCTGTTGCACCGGTCAGTGGGAATAAGAATGTCCCTGTGTCAGTGATCAGTTTGAGTAAAAAATTCCCGTGTCAGTGATCACTTTGCACCCACTGCCACTCTGCACAGCAGCTCCCCAGGCTTGCAGGAGAAAGCTCTCTCGGGTTGTGTCTGGTAAATAGAGACCAGACATGTCAAGCCTTAGAATTGCTTGAGCCCATGAAATGACAAAAAAACATCAGTAACTAAAATTGTTCATAGTCATAGGTGAAGTTTTAAAAGCCTTTACTGAGTTAACAGAGAGTGATGGCACTAAAATGATTGCTCTCACGCTGATGTTCACAGCAATAATTGCAACTGATGCATGTTTGCATTTGTATGCACGTTAACATGGGGCTACAATTAAATTAAATTACAAATGACATTCTATAGGTTTCTGATGGCATTATTGAATGTCTTGAACACTTACCTAGATCAGACCAGGATTCTCACAGATGAAAAAGAGACGAGGAGGGTTCTACAGCTAGTGATCACTGTAATAGCCATTTACAGGCTATTTCAATGATCATGTGATCATAAGCCGGTCTTATTGGCTTTCAATCATTTATACGAGACTTGGAGCTGCCTGTCAGCTTAGCCTCTATGCTGAGGGCATACTATGGAACACAGATTTATGCATATTTGCGGCCCCACTGAAAAAAAAAACGACTTCTGTGAGACTACATATGTGTATATGCTCAGTGGAAATTAATTATGCTAAAGTTACACAGGAGATTTTTAGTATCTCAATACTGCTACAAAAATTATTAGAGATGAATCAATAGGAGTAGCAAATGATTGCTAAACAGATGGAACAAATGGCTCTTTATGGAGTTTTAATAGAGACTGGTTCCCTGCCACTTAAAGTGCCCCCATCATGAGAGAAGCATGGATGCTGCCCTTGCTTAACCTTTTTAAAAAAAAAAATGTTTGTTGCCTGGATGTGTCTTAATTCAGTACTTCTGAGTTACAGACCTGCAAAATGCAGCAAATTAAAATGAGTTTCAATTGCCTCTCTTTACACATATAAGTGACTCTCAAAGTGTTGACACAAAACATAACTGAAAGTCAGCTTTTCTGAAGGGTAGCTCAATAATGGCAGCCTCCATATTTCTCTCATGACAGCTGTACTTTTACAGGTTTCCAGGTATGTGGCAACTTTCATAAAGTATTGCTACTCTATCTGTTATTTTTAAAAATTAAAGGTGAAAATAGAGCTGTAAATTACCTTACTATCCCCACCCGGTCACACCTACCTAAGGCTGGCTGATTATATTGGTATATTCCAGATAGCAAGGGTAACTTGCCACAAACTTGTGGCAGGGTTCAACTGTAATTCTTGTTAACTTGCTGCACACACTCCTGGCAGGTTGTAGACTTGCAGACCACTTGCAGCACAAGTTCTAGTTGACACTTTTTGAATTTGCTTGGCAAGTCTACAGCAAGAGTCCTGCAGGTCTTAGCAAGAGCTCTGCAAGTGTGCAGCACTTTTGCAAAGCACGTTGATCTGGAGACTTGCAATGCAGACTTGCTGTAATTGTGCAACAAAATTGTGAAGCTTGGCAAGTCTGCAATAGTTTAGCAAGTCATTTTCAAACTCGCTGCTCAATTGCTTGCTATCTGGGATACTTCCTGTGCTATTTATTTTTCTGTTTATCACACCCTCATAAGTATATGTGTTTATGTAATTTACGTTAATTGAGTTATGCTTTACAGTGAAGATTGAATCATTCTACCTAAAGGAGTTAATGCAATGTATCTAATATAGTCACACATGCTCATACAGTACATGGCCACTTAACCTTAACTGGAAGTCAATTAATCTTCCAGTATGTATCAGTATCTGTTGGCTAAAATGTTAAATTATTGTTTAAAATATTAGCTATATTGCATTATAAAAATTAACCTTTTTTGTTATTTCTGATTTATTATGCTCATTAATTGTAAATGCAGAGCTTTTTTGCAGCATAGTAATATTTGGTCCTGTGGGCATAACCTAAGGCACATTTGTTGTTTTACTAGAATGTATTGAGACTTTACATGTCTGCAGAGAAGCCTCTGACTGTAATATCATCCTCCACTAGAAGTCTGCTACAAGGGATTGGTTATCAACTTGCACACATGGTAGCTTGTAACCTGGGGATTGTTGGCATGCTGCCGTTAATTGCAGATCCCCTCGAGACAAATGTTGTAGTTGTTAAATAATACAAACACAAATTGCTGGAGGTTTAGTTGAAAATAATGGGGTAAAATAGTAATGCACATTAAGTCTAATACATAAAAAAGTCAAAACAATTGTAAGAAATCTTGAAGTAAACTAGTTGAATAAATTGAATGTAAAATAAAACAAACTATTTGTAAAAATATGAATATATTTAAAACAATAATGTTTAGTGTATTTAATAAAAATAAAAGTAGTTAGCGGTCTTAACAGACCACAAATAGTTTGTGTTGGATATACTTAATTTGTCTAAATTTGTCTTAATTTGTATGAAATTTTTCCATGGCCTAATTTTTATATATGAAAATAGAAGAAAAGAAATTATATTCAAAAAAAGAAACATACATAATGAGGATGTTTAATATAAAGAGCTATTGAATAAAATGTAAATCGACCTAGATAGGGTTCATTACAGTATTGTATGTTGTTTTTACTGCTTCAAATATAATGGTGCATTTGGGGCATTGGATCTTAAGGTTTGGGAGGTATTAGGGAGTTCATAAGTGTAACGTTCAGTGTTTTTCTCTGATTGGTCTACTGGGAGTTTGTCTCAAGGGATAACTTGGCTAGACCTTCATATCCATTTATATTTGTTGGTAGTGAAAATAAGAGCAAACATCCTTAAAGGTATGGAAAACATTTGTAGACAAAAGACTTTTTATTAATGATGAACCCATCATCATCATTAACTGTTTATACATCATTACATCATTAACTGTTTATGCACAGCAATAAAAAAAATTTGTGCTATAAAAATGTACAGTTAAATTCTAAATATTAAAGACACCTTTTACAGTTGGAGATTGTTGCCATATGGAGTAAAAATTTGTGAACTTGAACAACCACATTTTACTGAGATTTAAAAAAAAAAGGCTGAACTTGTTTCTTCAATTTGAATGGCTTATTTGTTAATTTTAGGGCATCAAGATGTTCATAACTATTCTTTACACTCTAAAAATGAATAATATGCTTACAAAGAAAGACACACATAAGGAAAACAATTGGCAACATGCAGAAATTGATGTTTCCAGTCTATATTAGTTTTGTAATTGCCCCCCACATTGCCCTGGAATGCAGTCATTGATCTCCTACCAACCTCAGCTTCTGTTTAGTGAGTTCACCTTAAATATTATGCAGCTTAGAAAAAAAGCACACTTCAGGGAAAAAAAATGACAGTGTGCAGAAATTGCTGTTTCCAGACTGTGTTGGCTTTATCAATGTCACAAATATAGTCTGGAATGAAGCCATTGATCACTTACCAGCCTCAGTTCCTGTGCTTGTGGGCATAAAGACTTACCTGTACAAAGCACTTCTTGACGGTGTATACCTACATTGGTCATCTGTGCCATCTTACAAATCTGGCAATTTTCAGATGGGCCAGTGATCTAGCCAATGCACATATGCTTCCAAATTCGGTAATTGTCATTATGTAGGCTTTGTCAGGACCTCTAAGCATGGCTCTATAAACCTTAAAACTACAGTTAGCCATCCGCTTTGCCACAATAGAAGCCCTAAAATATACATTTATTGGGGAAAAAGGGCTTGTTCTTGTGAATGCCTGGCTACCAGGCACAAATTAAATAGAAGAAAAACACACCCACATCATTTATATTAGGGCTTCAAAGTCCAATTGCAACTGGCCTAATGCTAGCCATTAATAGGAAAAAGCCATTCTTTTTTATTCTCTATATGCAGTCTTTTAATACATGACAAAGGGTTCCCAGAGTACCATGGGGTATCTAAAGAGATAGCACGGCAGAGCAGCTTGCTTTGCAGCTCCGCTTGTCTGATAAAAAATGAACTGTCTGATTAGGGAGTCACTGCACTGATGACTTATTCCATAGGCGACTCCGGACACTGACCAAAGAGGGACATTGCATATTTAATGGGTGGGCGCTTATTTTTTTTTAAGTCATAGTAGTGCTTGATGATTTCACCCTGACATGTCATTGCTGCCAGTTTGTGCTAGTGTGCTGTAAGTAGAGAACAGGCACAGACTGTGTGACATTAAAACAAAATATTTACTTGAAACTTTTTTACTCTGACCATGGTAGACATTGAAATGTGTTTGAAACCACCATACATTCCTTTAAGTCTGTAGTTGCTATATTGTATTTAACCAGTTGCGGACTTTGAGCATGTGCCCCTAAAAATGCAGGGCATACCCACCGTACTACAGCTCACCTTCACTCATGTCAGCAAATCACGGCTGTCAAAATGACAGCTTGGACTTGCAGCAGCCACTGCTGTGTTAATTAAAGCTTCTGTGTAATGTTCAAAACACTATTCAGGTGCTTAATTAAGAAATGCAATGTAACAACATTTACTTTTACATGGTATTTACTGTTTCCTTCCTTTTTAGACCAAATGGGTGACCTTTGTTCTGCAGATGATGTCAGTTAAAGCAACCTCGTAGAAGACAGAGATCACCAGCACTCAGGATAAAACCATTATATTATTTTGCTTATTTTTTGAAGAAACATGTCACAAGCGTCATTTAGCCAATGATCACTATGTCCACTGAAGGAGGGACCCTGCATGGCCCTGGAATGTTGGCTAAATTATGCTTGTGACATGTTTCTTCAATAAATAAGCAGAGGAATCTAATGTTTTTTTGAGTGCTGGTGATCTCCGTCTTCTATGATTTTGGAAAACATGGCGCCATCTGTGCAATCACTACGAGCACCAAAAAGAAAGGGAAAAAAATGTTTTAAATATAATTTGTTCTTGTTAAATAGTGATGGTGCCAAACACACCTAAGTTCGGTTCGAGTTCGAACTTTAGAACATGGAAAAAGTTTGAACTTCAAACTCAATGAAAGTCTATGGGGCCAGAACTCTGAAAATTAAATGTCCTTTTTTGAAGGCTTATATGCAAGTTATTGGCCATAAAAAGGGTATGGGATTTGGGTACTGCCCTGGGGGACATGTATCAATGAAAAAAACACTTTTAAAAAATACAGTTTTTAGGAGCAGTGATTTTAACATTGCTTAAAGTGAAACTGCCTGTAAAGTGGCACATCTGTACAATGTATAGAACCTGCTGCAGGTCCCCCCTCCCAAACAATACCAGACCCTTTAGGTCTGGTAGGAAAGTTAGGAGGGACCCCATTTAAATAGAAAAAGCATGGGGTCCCTCCCCCCCAAAAAAAAGTCATACCAGGCCCTGGTCTGGTTTGAAATTTTAGGAGGAACCCCAAGTTGCAACTAAAAAACCAGACCCTTGATCTGAGCACAGGCCTGGCAGGGCAGGAAAGAAGGGGGAGGAGCGAGTGGCCCCCCCTCCCTGCCATACCAGGCCACATGCCCTCGGCACTGGGAGGGTGCTTTTTGCCCCTGGGGCGTTGATTGTGGGGGTGCGAGCAGGGGGACTTTTTCACACCAGGGTACCCCTTTAATAAAGGGGCACCCATATGCGCCCCCCTTGTGAATGAGTAAGAGGTACTTGTACCCCTACCCATTCACTAAAGGGTTAAAATAAATTGTAAATAAAAACACCAGACTTTTGAAAAAAGCCTTTATTTGAATAATAAACAAGACATGTTTTTGACAAGTCTTCTATTAAAACAAATTGATCCACAGACATAATCCTAGGGACAATCACAACGTCCAGTGTTGTCCAAAATAACTAAACTTGGCTATGTGAAAAAAAAAAAATGATTTCGCTATGTGAGCCATGATTGGGCTGAGCCATGAAAGTCATAATTTCTTTGCCCAATCGTGGCTCTTACAGAGCACTGTGCCGTGATTGGGCAAAGTATTGAACCTGACTGAAAACTGAAAAAATGGCCTGGTAATGAAGGGGGTGTAACATGCCGGTACTGAAGTGGTTAAAATAACACTGATCAAAACGGAAGAAAATGCACATTTTAGTTTTGTTTTACCTTTTTTCCGTAGCTTACATAGAAAATAAACTCATTTTTATAAGACAACATCACTAACAGCAAGCCTTGTTTGTCCTAAAAAAATACAATATATGTAATGCCAACGTTATATTTGAATAAGCAGACCCGTAGCAGAAATATAACAGCTGTTTTGGTCCATAGGGGGTATACAGGTGCAAACTGAAGTGGGTAAGATTATTTTCTAAACATACTAGAGTAAGCTGAAACATATAATGTGAACATAGCTTATGTGGAGATGGATGCCCATTATCAGTAAATATTGTTAAATCATCTGCAATTCTTGCATGGAAATGTATTTACAGTTGTTGTATGTCTTCTAGCAATGGTTCTTCAACCTCAGAAGATTTATTCTGGAAATTAGATGCACTGCAACAGTTTATTCATGATCTTCACTGGCCAGAAACAGAGTTTGCTAACCACTTGGAGCAACGTCTTAAACTTATGGCAAGTGATATGATAGAAGCCTGTGTAAAAAGGTTAGCAATATTAAGGATTTATTTGTTTCAGTTGGGTATTTTTTCTTCATTTTGGTAATTTTAACTGAATATTTTTTATGTTTCAGGTACAATAAAGATAGAGAATAAATTTAGTATACTCATGAAAATAATGTACCAGATAGCATTATTGATGTGTCTTCAACAGTCATCATAAAAAAAAGCTATAATTTGCTGTGGTACTGGTCCTGCTTGCTGCTGGTTCACTATTCTTCTATTCTATCATGTAGCAAAAAGTTTATTCATCTTTCATTTCACCACTATTTACCTGACCAGCTGTGCAAGGAGGAAAGTGACAAAAGCAGCATGTATTAAAGGAGAACTATGGGGAGAGTGAATTGCACTTATCCCCATAGTTAGAGCCAATGTGTAACACTACTAGCTGTCACATGTCGGCTCTCTTGATCAATAACTGAGCGATCACATAAAACTGATCGCATAGTTCACAGTCCCCTACCTGCAGAGAGCGGTGATGGTCAGTCACTGCACCCTGCAGGAATTCCCCCCTCTTCTCTCCGTTCCTCCAACCCTGACTGGAGGGACAGACAGGGCAGGGGACAGGCACACCGGGCTCTAGAGAAGCAGAGCCAGCTGTCAATCAGGCAGCAGGGTGGATCGCAACAATATTGTCAGGATCTTTCCTGGTTGCAGTGCGGATCTACTCTGTTAGCAATAACCCACAAGGTGCTTAGTTTTGGGTCACAGTAAATGTCCTCATGTGACTCAAAAGCGAACTATAGCCCAAAAAGGGTTTGGTGATAGTTCTCTTAAGTCCAGATTTGATTTTAATTTAATTCAAACCCTTAGATCATAAAAACCAAACATGTTTTGGGGTATGATCATGGTTGTGTGGCATCTGGAGCAGTCAAACTAATTGCTCATCATTATCCCTCCAATGTTATCAGTCCAGTTTACACTGTTTTTCAGCCATAGATTTTTATGGTATTCAGTATGAGTCTGCAAAAAATTACATCTGAACTTTATACATTATGCTTTTGTCACTTTTCCTGCTTGCGCATCCAGTCCCTAAAGAACAAACCTTTGCCACCACTCCTGGGAGAGCAGCCTAAGGTGTATAATTCACTGCTTAACTTTTTGATACTTGACTTTGAACACCTACTGCTTTCAGAGATTCACCAACCAACAACTTTCTTTTACTTCCTGCATTACTTAACTGTCAGTTCCTTAAAGGTAACTCCTCTTAAAAAAAAATAAAAAAAATGTAGTTTCAATAATTGCTACACGAGCCATTCTGCATGTTACCCTTCTGATTAAATCTGCATCCCACTATAATTTTCTAAAACTAACAAGTTAAAATATGTCCTGCATACTGCCTAATAACAGAATTCTCCCAAATTGTGACTTCCTGCTCATGTTGTTGTCTGACTACATTTCCCAGCAGTTTTTCTTTTATTGCAATACTGGGACTTATCAAGTTTTAGGCACACTGTTCCATTAAAGATTCAGAAAGTAGGGTGTGAGTGCAGAAAGTAGAAAGAAGTTTTAAAAAAAATTATGTGCGTTGGTGCTTTAGCCTGTGTGTGGTGTTACAAATAATACGATTTCCCTTGATGTTGTCAGCGAAACCGAATTCTGGCATCACATATTTTTGATGTGTAATTGATTTTTTAACTGTTACATTTAGCGTGGCTTAAATATATCAGCAGCACCCCAATCTAATTTTAACCTGGAAAAAAGGCTTTTAGTTAGTTTTGGCTACAACACCTGATGTTCTATCAATCGCTAATAATGGCCTTACCTGCCATTATGGAAGAAAAAGCTTTTTCTCCATTCAGACCAACTTCTCACAGGCTACACAGCGGGGAAACCATCTGCGCTGTGTAACCTGTCAGGGAGGGAGTGCCGCCTGTTAATTTCAAGCGACGATTCATCCGGCTTTTGACAGCTGTTGGGTTTTACAGCAGGGGGCTGCTGTGTGTAACCTCTAACAGTGTGTTTAGAGCTACAACAAGCCTCTGACGTAGAGTCATAGACTTGAGCTCTGTGGATGGTTTGCCATTGGTCCAAGCTGTCCAATCAAAAAAGAAAAAAACCCCCACTAACATACACCTAGATGCCTCATCAGTGCCGAGCAAATGAGGAACAGGGATGCTAGTCCCCTGTCTCCTCTCTCCGGGCCGGGGGGTGTGCCTCATCTTCCACTAACCTCACCGCACGCCACTGCTCTCAGACAGCACACTGGCTGAAGGGCAAGCCAAAAGCTTTAGCAAATACTGTGCAGGCTGTTTGACATTTTTATAAACTCTTTATTAAACTCTAACAGTTATAAATCATTTTAAAAGTGCATGTATATGTCCACAATTACAGTAATGGCATACAACATTTTTACATATATGTTTCATAAAATATAGAACTGAAACAGTGACAGTCTTTCATGTGCTTTTGTTGCATGCATACATACATTCCATAACACATTGTCAAGAGGTTTGTATATACTGAGTGTGGTAGTTATAACATTAAGGGAGCTATTCACTAAAGAGCTGAGGGATGTAGCCTTCGGCTCGTTTTGGCTGCAGAAACTCTTCAGTTTAGTGAAACCCAAGGGCTGATGTATGCACTATTCTCAATAGCATGTACAGCAGATGAAGGTAAACGTAGTAAACAGCCAATCTGAACGCACATGCTTTGAAGCTGCCAAAGTGGACCGAATCCCTGCCAATTATTAAGAAATAGAATTTTTTAAAAACAGCATGTGGTTCCCCTCCCCACTTCATACCAGACCCTTTAGGTCTGGTCGGAATGTTAGGAGGGACCCCCGAAAAAAGTGGGGTCCACCTACAAATTCAAACCAGACCCTGTTATGCTTGGTAGGAATTTTAAGGGGTACCCCAATGCCCAAAAATGTTGGTTCCCCCCTAAAATTCCATCCTACTGTTTTGTAGCTGTGGGATTTGAACCTGGGTCTCTGGGGTAGAGGAGGACTCAGCTTTGTACTGCAGGTTTCTACCCTGCAGCTTTTCTTCTGGCCTATCTAGCTCTGCAATCATCTCAGCCTTTAAGAACTGAGTACTTCCTGTGCTCTGAGCCCGTTTATTTGGGTTTGTTTCCTGTGTGTGCTGCCACTGAATTGACCGCTAAATATCTTTGAGGCTTTGACCTGTTTTTTGACTACCCTTCTGCCTGCCTACTTTGTACTTTGCTGCCTGTTCTGTAAGACCGGCCTGTTTCTCGACTTCTCTCCTGGATCCTTATTTTTTACCTGACTGCAAGTCTGTTGCTGAATCTGCTTACCTGACAATGCCTAGCCTTAACCTCAGCCTCGCTCCACTTCGGACTCTACCTTCCACAGGTACCTTACCTTACACTTGTCCACATGCTGATGGCCCAGTGGTTGTGGGGGTCTGCAGGGAGGCTTATCTGCATCTGGGTGCCCCCTTTCATAAAGGAGGCACCCAGATGCTGCCCCCCCCCCTTGTGAATGAGTAAAAATTATTTAACTGAACAAAAAATAAAAGTAATTTTTTGGCAAGTCCTTTATTATAAAAAAAATTGTCCAACGATGCAATCCACTGGTCAATCATGTCGTCCAGTGATGTATTTCTCATCCTCGTCAACCATGCTGAATGACACCCACCGATATGTCTAAACCAAAAAAAGCTAACCCGTCCGCTACCACCAAACTCCCACCGCAAAATGAGGTCTGGGCCGAATGTAAACAAATGGAGTCGTGACATCTCAATTCGCTTTCCCCATTTGTTTTCATTCCATGACAGCTCACTGTCCTCAAATGGCAGGTAAACAAATGGGCAGAGTAGGTTCTTCACTTCAGTTCAGCTGAAAGGTGCTGAGGCTGTGCGGCCAAGCCAAAAGTAGGTGAAGTGAGCCAAATGCAGCCGATGTAAGGCTCAAAATAGCCTCACAGGGCTGCCGTGAATAGCCAAAGAGGCTTTGGCTACCTTCACTTCCACTCAGTTAATCATTTGGCTGCCTTCGGCAGCTTAGTGAATGACCCCCTAGGGCTGGGGAGTTCACCCTGTATGTAATGTAACAGTATAATTACACCATAGTTTCCAATTGTTTTTGAAATTTTAGGGGACAGTTCCTATTGCCATGTATAACTTTTTCATAAGAGATAATCTGATTAACTAATGATTTCCACTCGGCTACAGTAGGGGAATAGGGAAGGAGGAGTTGCAGTAAGGTGATCAGTAACCACTTGCTGCCAGAAGTCATATATAATCTGACAACCCCAAATGAGGTGCATTAAATCTGCATGGGGTTCAATACATCATATACAGTTGTGGGTGGCCAAACATTGCATTTTGTGCAGTCGATCAGTAGATATGTATGTTTGGTGTATAATATACAAAATTAATAAACTGATTTTTTATCTACTTTTTTAGTATTTTTTATAGTTTTTTAATTTCAATTTTTTTTAACAGACCCCTGTTTTATCACTTATAAAATACAGAAAGAGATTAAGGACACAGACTCAATTTCCTCCTCCCTTCTCCTTTGCAACTGTACTCCCTAAATTGAACAGTAAGTGCTCTGTACAGAGGGCTTCCTGGTCATCTACAAAAGAATAATTAGTAAATATGACCATTCATGTTTACTATCACTTCTTTTATGAAAGAACACCAGGGGGATCAGCACTTCACACCCCTGTGTTCATTCAGGACAAGCAAAGGATCAGTAAATATGACACCATCTTGAATGATCCAATCCTCCCCGTTTCCTTCTTCCCTCCACA